TGCATTATGAAGAGTGTTACAAGTAATCAATTCTGTGCTTTCCTGAGGATGCATTTTTCCGTGGCAGGTTTCAGACCTCTAAATAAGCTGTTCTTTCAGAAGTAAAATCAGAGAGGACTTTACAGTGCCTGTGAGGAGGCTTAGGAAGCATAGACAGAGGCAGACAGGAGAGCTTGAATCTGAATGACTGTGAACATAGAGAAAGAGGTACATCCCTAAAGACAGTTTTTAGCTATTCATGCTTTGCCCATGAAGATTGTAAGATTTAGTTTATTTTTAAATGCCTCTGCATTTTAATACTTCAGAAAAACAACATTCCGTTTTGACTCATTTAACCAGTGAGTTAAATGCGTGCCTACTCTGTAAGCTGCTTCCAGGCCACATGCTGGGGATACTGTGACATTTCAGGCTCAGTCTCTGTCCTCAGTGGGCTCTGAACTTTGGGGGAAGGTGATGATGAGACGGTGAGCAGCTGGTGCAACAGCCGCAGGGGCTTGTGGAGACAGAGGTTGCAGAGAGCCCCACCTGCAGGAACTCAAGGGAAGGGGTGGCTGGGAGACAGGAATGGTGGGTGAACAGAATAGCATGCCTGACAACCTGGATTTGAGTGAAATAAATTCAGCTTGGCTAGAAGGTTGAGTTGTGAGGAATGAATCACTCAAGATAGGCAGGGGATTGATCATAAAGGCCATTGGGTGCCATATGTGGAGTCTGGACTTGATCCAGAGGGCAGCGGTCAGTGCTTGAAGGATTTTGGGTGCCATTTCCTCTGTGGACTCTTTCTGGAGCTCTCTGACTGATTTTCCTGCCTTGTCCTGCTTCTCTGTCTCCTCTCTCTCTCCATTTGAATGCACACACACACACACACACACACACATTCTCTCTCTCCCTCCCTCCCTCCCTCTCTCTCTCTCTCTCTCCTGATCTGTTAGTTTTGCAGAGCTAAACCCTTGGTTCTGCCTTCACCTTATTTTCTCCTAGCTTTTTCAAGGACTTTTTTTTTTTGACAGAGTCTCACTGTGTCACCCAGGCTGGAGTGCAGTGGTGCGATCTCCGCTCACAGCAACCTCTGCCTCCTGAATTCAAATGATTCTCCTTCCTCAGCCTCCCAAGTACCTGGGACTACAGGTACCCGAGACCACGCCTGGTTAATTTTTGTATTTTTAGTAGAGACTGGTTTTCACTATGTTGGCCATGCTGGTCTTGAACTCCTGAACTTGTGATTTGCCCACCTCAGTCTCCCAAAGTGCTAGATTACAAGCATGAGCCACCACGCCCGGCCCTCAAGGACCTTTTCAATGAAACAGTAATATTTCCCATAAACTACTAGATAGAAAACAGAACAGAGCAGGGTACCTGGTGGCTAAGAATTAATCAGCAAATTTGATATTTATCCATTCATATGGTAGATCGTATTTTTACATGAGACAGAGAGCTACAATTCCTGTTGCTGTTCTCACCAGGAAATCACTACCATCTTATGTTTTCCCTACCTATCTGCAAATTTACATGTCAGGAAGAAAATCTAGCAGGGATGAGACTAGAGACAAAAAGTCATGTACTGATGTGTAAAGAGCCGGCATTCTTTGTGTTCACAAGGAGGAAGCAAACCTTTCTTCCATTGCTAATCCATGGGTTTCTTTTTCTTCTTTTCTATTTTGAGACCGTCTCACTCTGTTGCCCATGTTGGAGTACAGTGGCACAACCACGGGTTCACCGTAACCTCTGCCTCCCAGGTTCAAGTGATTCTCCTGCCTCAGCCTCCCAAGTACCTGGGCCTACAGGCATGTGCCACCACACCTGGCTAACTTTTTGTATTTTTAGTAGAGACTGGTTTTCAACATGATGGCTAGGCTGGCCTCAAACTCCTGGCCTCAAGTGATCCACCCGCCTTGGCCTCCCAAAGTTCTGGGATCACAAGTGTGAGCTACCACGCCTGGCCTCATCTGTGGGTTTCTTGTCCCTGCCATCTGGAGACTCTTCAGTCCACATTCTCCTTGTCTGGAGGGACTGGCATGGAACACAGGAATCTGTCTCTAAGCAAGCCTCTTTGGGAAGGGGAAAAGCTGTGTAAAATCTAATTTTCTGTTAGTAAAGACAGGCTGAACATTCACACACATAGCCAAATCACTTATTAACCTGCTCCCATCAGATGGAGGGAGGCAGAGATATGGCAGACATGGTGGAATAATCTTTGAGGGGCTGCGGCTTAATGAAAATGAGTTAGGGCCTAACCTCTGTAAACTCACCAGAGTTTACACACCTGAAACACAGGAAACATTGCCAAGAGCTCCATGTTCCTTTACAAGAAATCCCCAACCCCGATGGGCATGTTCACCTCAATTCAACAAATATTTTAAAGAGCCTACTAATGTGTGAGGGAGTCGGAGGCAAAGATGAAGACATTGCCACTGTTGGGGATGGTGAGAAATTTCTCAGCCACAAAGCAATCAGTGTACAAGTCAGTGCTTACTACCTGCTTTCTGGTCTGGGTTGTGATGATTGCTGTGGGTTAAGGAAGAGGCATGGTTTCTCTCTTCGAGTTTACACTGTTTGAGAATTCCAGGCAGACACCCCTAGCTTTAAAACGGCTGATGTGTGAAGTATCTAACAAGGGCGAGGGCTGCACACAGCCAGGACAATTGGCCCTGCTTGTGGGTCCTGCCTGAAAGCTGGCCTTGGCATGCCATTTAACAACGTGTTTCTGTCTGTATGATTGACCCTAGTCTGTGTAGCCAAATTTGCTGGAAGAGTTTCTAGCCTTGGAGTGATCAGAGAGGACTCCCTGGAATCAGTGGATTGGAGCTGAGTCTTGAATACAAGCCTATTTTGTTGTTTAACAAAAATAAAGTTCTTTGGTTTTACTCTTGGTAACTTCTGTCATTTGGAGGTGGATAGGAGTTAAATGTCTTCTCTCCCACAACCTTGCCACCAAGTGGTATGTTAAACAGCGAAAACGTCTATCTCTGAATTCTCCTACCAGTACAAACATTCATTAAGTAGGCAGGTACAAAACCCATCATTGAACCTGTTCCTGAAAGCTCACGAAGCCTCTTTTGCCTGTCTTTAGGTACTCCAACAAGCATCTTGCAGAAAGTTCGTTCTGAGGCTGGTGCAGTTCTATTCTGCTGGCTGAAGCAGCTGCCCTTCTAGTCTGATTAGAGGATAGAGCCTTATTAAAGGATGCAGACAAAGAGAGTGTTCAACCTTCAGTGCTTTGGGTGCTGGGCTCAAAGGAGGTTTTTTAAATTTTTTGAGACAGGGTCTGTCTCTTGCCCAGGCTTGAGTGTCGTGGTGCCAGCACCATAGCCCTCAGAATAGCTGGGACTGTGAGCATGTGCCACCACACCCAGCTAAGTTTTAAAATTTTTAGAGAGACGGGGTCTCGCTTTGTTGTCCAGGCTTGTCTCAAGCTCCTGGCCTTAAGCAATCCTCCTGTCATGACCTCCCAAACTGTTGGGATTATAGGTGTGAGCCACCACACCCTGACTAATTTATTTACTTATTTTTTAAAGACAGGGTCTTGCTTTGTCATCCAGGCTGGAATGCAGTGCTGTGATCATAGCTCACCGTAACCTCTAACTCCTGGGCTTTAGCGATTCTTCTGCTTCAGCCCCTCAAAGTGTTGGGATTACAGGCAGGAGCCACTGCACCTGGCCTCAAGGGATTCTTCCGAACTTCATTATTACAAGGGTTTCCAAGCCTGAGAAAAATTTTAACCCATCACATGTTGAGCACCATGCTTTTCATTAGTAAACTATTTATTTCTAATGTTCCGTATGCTAGTAAACTTTCAGGTGTAGCTTTAGGTACCATATTGGAATTATTTGAATTGTAGTCATGTCTGGGAGTAGATTTCTGATTAGAATCCTTCAAATGCTAACTCACTTTTTCCAGACTCCTCATTTGGATGCGTTCAATGTTAAGAACTGTCCTTGGAGGTGGATTACAGTTAGTTTACACATAAACATATTAGTGCTATAACAGGATTCAGAATTGTCTAAGTGCTACAATAGGATTCAGAGAGAAAGGGGGAAGGGGTTATTCCAGCCTAGGGCAGGTTGAATAGTGGCTGGATCTGAAATTTGTGGGGGAGGTATGGGGAAGTGGGAAGGAGGGGAAACATTTCCTTCTCTCAGTACGATTCCTAAAAGTGGTGCCTGTCAGCATTCTTAAAAAGGTTATTACCTTTTAAAATCATGACATGACAGTTGATAAGCCTTTGTTAAAAAGAAATTAAGAAGCAGCAGCAGCAGCAGCAGCAGCAGCAGCAGCAAGGTAAGAGCAAGATCACAGGGGCACAGGGGAGAAGATGTAAAGGGGGGTGTCTTTGTGTGGGGAACTGACTGATGTCACTTTCAGGGATGACAATAGCTGCCAAAAAGTTCGAGATAGATGAAGCTTGGTTATTCCACCATAATTTTGCTCCCAGGTTTTATGAAAGCAAATCTCAGGTTAAATTCTCTGTGGCATGTATTATTAAATGTTTATTAGGCAAGCAGTGGAAACCAGTTTATACCAAACTGGTCAGTGGAATTGATAAAATCCTTTAAGGAGCTTGCATCACCACCTTGCATTGTATTTTTTGCTAGGTAAATAGATAAAAAGAACATTATCCAAAGGGGGATGGCTTCGGAGCTCTTTTGTAGACAGGCAACCAGAAATTCTCCAACCATGTGGCTGAATTTAGTATCTTAAAGTCCATGACTAAGGAGGAGTCTCTCTAAATTGTCTAAGCCAGTCTGCCTCTCTAAAGTTAATGTTGCTAATTAGCCGAATCAGATATCGCCAAGGAAAGTTACATTGACTTTTATCAGTATTCAGAGCTTTGAGATGGAAAACAAGAGTTAACTGTGGCCTTAGAAGTCCTGTTATTCAATGTCTAAGTTAGTGCAACAGTGAAACACTTGAATATGCATCACAGTGCCTTTTTCTAAGGTCTTTTTTTTTTTTTTTTTTTTTTTTTTTTTTTTAAAATTTTTTTTTGTAAAACATGATCTGTCTTGTCTAAAGCCAGGATTCAAAAAGTTGCTTTAAAAGCTGATTGTTCCTCCCCACAGGAATCTTCAGTAAAAGGCAAAAAATTTTATACAATCTAAAGAGAAACCAGCAAGTGCTGTGAGTTAGTTAATTCATTACTGCAATAACTGCAACTCCTAATACAACGATGGTGCCCACAGTTCTCACAAAAAGAGTTACTACTGCCTGTGGTTTGCACAAAAATTGTTTAAGTAATCTTCTAATAGTTAGAAATGTTGAGTCAAAAGAAATAGTCTTTTAAGCTTTAAAGAATTTACTATGTGCAGGATACCATGGGTATGCAAATGAGGTATTGAGTCATCACCTGGAGATTCCACACCTTGTTATTCACCCGGTGCCTTTGGCGCTACCACTAGGGGGCGAAGTAAAGGTCATGCTAGCTGGGTTCTAAATCCCATCTTGGATTAAACCCTAGAAACGCTCATTTTAGCCGTTTTTCTATGATGGGACTTTGAGTCAATTTGTTACCTTTAACATCCTCTTATTTTGAAACAATTACACATTTACAGGAAGTTGCGACCATAGTACAGAGAGGCCTCGTGTACCTCCACCCAGCTTCCCCAGTGGGGAATCGTTTTGATTTCCCCCTCCCCCAACTTTTATTTTAGATTCCAAGGGTACATGTGCAAGTTCATTACCTGGGTATATTGTGTGATGCTGAGGTTAAGGGTAGAATGATCTTGTCACCCAGGTACTGAGCACAGTACCCAACAGTTGTTTCTTAGCCCTTGCCAGCCCTTGATCCCACCCCACAGCAGTCCCTAGTGTTTGTTGTTACCAACAGGAGGACCTGATAGTTAGCTCCCCAGTAGGGAATCTTCTATAGTGAACTCTCAAACCCAGGAACTTGACATTAGTACAACCCACAGGCTTTAATCAGATTTCACCTGTTTTGCAGACGCTTTTTTGTGTATGTGTATGTAGTTAATATGCAGTTTTATCCATGTAGATTCATGTAAACACCAATATGATAAAGATACAGAACCTCAAAGAGCTACTCTGTGCTGTCTCTTTGATGGCCATACTCACCCTCCTCCTTCTCATCCCTAATCCCTGAAAACCACAATGCTTTTAATATGTATATGTATATGTATATGTATATGTATATGTATATACACACATTTAGGATTCTTCTATCTTATTGGTGAGAAGATAATTTTATCATTCTCCAATGACCCTTTTTGACCCTGGTGATTTTCTTTCTCTGAGGTCTACTTTAACAGCCATTGACAGAGTCACTCCCACTTACTTTTGATTCATATCTGCATAGCAAATGCTTTTCCATCCTTTAACGCTCCACTTCTCCACTTTGTTATATTTAAAGTGAATTTCTTGTAGACAGTCTAGAGTTGGGTCATTTTTCTAGCAATCCATTCTGCCCAGCTCTGTCTTTTAATTGCTGTATTTAACTCGGGGTTTATTCAGCTTCTTGAATCTGTAGGTTTATGCTTTTGCCAAATTTGGGGATTTTTTTTTTTTTGCCATTATTTCTTCAAACATATTTTTAGCCCCGTATTTTTTCTTTCCTTCTGGAAAATTTAATGACACCAATGTCAGATCTTTTGTTCTTGTATCAAAGGTCTCTGAGGGTGTATTTTTTCAGTCAAGTTTTTCCTCTCTTGTTCAGATTGGGTGATTTTTGACATATCCTTAGGTTCAATAATTTTTTTTTTTTTTTTTTTTTTTGAGAAGAATCTCAGTCTGTCATCCAGGTTGGAGTGCAGTGGCACAATCTTGGCTCACTGTAATCTTTGCCTCCTGGGTTCAAAGGATTCTCCTGCCACAGCCTCACAAAAGCTGGGATTAGTGGCATGTGCCACTATGCCCAGCTAATTGTATTTTTACTAGATACTGGGTTTTGCCATGCCAGCCAGGCTGGTCTGGAACACCTGGCCTCAAGAGATCTGCCCACCTCAACCTCCCAAAGTTCTGGGATTACAGGTGTGAGCCACCATGCCCGGATCAATAATTCTTTCTTATGTAATCTAATTCTGCTAATAAGCCCACCTAGTAAGTTATAGTAAGTATAATTAATATTGTGTTAATGTAAATATTAATATTTATGTCAGTATTTACTTAATTTTATTTTGTTTGTTGTCATTCCTTAGGTCCCGAGGTCTCTAGCCAGTCTGCTCTTTTCACCATTCAGAATCTCCTTGCGTTTGTTTTATATATTACAGCCAAGGTTTTTAGCTGTCGTTGGTGGAGGGATAGGGATAAAGGTGTGTACTATATCATGCCTGAAAGCAGAATTCTCTGTGTTGTAGTCTTTAAAGTAAGTTTTAGGCATAATAAATAAGATGAACTATTTTATTAATACACAAATAGGTTTCTGAAGAGAAATGGTGGAAGCAGAGGGCAGTGGGGGAAGGGGGGCCATGTGCCCCGAGGATGTGGTGAGTCTTGGTCTCGTTCTTGTCTCTCTCTGTTCCCAGTCTCCCAGGCCCCTCAGCTGCCTGTGATGGCTGGTGGGCTTAGGGGTGCTCTGGGTGGGGAGGTGTCTCCTGGACAGCTTGGGCAGCTAATGGGCAAAAGGAACAGATGTAAAGATGTGTGGGAGAACCCTTCGACATAGCTCTGCTCGCCAGTTTGCCTGGTCTTTCAGGCAGAGTGTAAAGCAGAAAGGTGGTATCTGGGATTATGGAGGGTTCCCTTCCTCTTCCCCTGGACAGACGGCAAAAATGTTGTACTTTTCTCTCTTGAGATCACACTTTCTTTCTTAATTGGCCTTCCAACCTGGGGGACTCCCACATTTTGGGACTCCATGTCGAGTTCCAGTTTGCTAGTGTTTGCCCACTGCAGAGATGCTTGGTAGAAAGCAGTTTTCTTGCATGTGTGAAGACTTCCTAAGCAGAAAGTAAATTCTCTGAGTGGGAGGATCATTTTAGGAGCTGGGGCCCACAACAGGCTGGGGATCTTTTTTCCTTCTATGTTATTGTGACTCACTTTGTCTTTTTGATTCTCTGAGGAAGTGACACTAATGGTATGTATGATTTATTAGCGTCGTTTGAAGCCGAGGAGTCATGATTTTGTGTAATTTGTTCTCTAGTCATCTATTACTTTTTTTTGGTCATGATCTCTAACTTATCACCTTTTTTCATCATTTATAACTCTTTTTTCCTTGTACCTTGTAGAGAATATAGTTAGTGTTTTTCCAATGTGAGAGGTGGGGGAAAATAACATAGTTTTGTGCCTTCAACTTCACCCTGAAATTTAATGTTTCTTTTTAAACATTTGATTCATTCTTTGCTAACTTTAGGAGGAAAGGTGGGAGAATATGGCATAGATAGAGCAAGGAGACAGAATCTATGCATGTTAAACCAAATAGATTCTTCTTGCTCTCTTGCATAATCCAAAGTGACTTCTAAGAAATAGGTAGGTAGGTAGAGAGTTGTGACCAGAAGATATTACTGAGTTTAGGTTGGCAGTTGGGCTGAAGATACGCAAAATAACTTACCCGTGTTAACTAGGTCTTCTTGATTTAATTAAACCCTCTTCAGAGGCTTTCTCTTTTCTTCCTCCATAAAACACCTCCCCTTTGCCATTTTACCCTGGACCAATTTGCCTGGCTTGTGTGGCAAGGGGCAATGAAGAGGCTGGTAATGGTACACAGTAGAACAGGGCAGCCTGTGCCTGTCCTGTTGGCAGTGTCCCTGTGCTTGTAAGCATCTTCACCTATGCAGAAGGGTGGAGAGGTTTGAGCAGGGGCTTTGTTATTTACAGAAAAAAGGTTTTATTAGTGGAAGCATTTTATCTTTAAGACAGTATTGATTGGGAGAGTGTGGTGTCTCTGGAAATTGTAAGCAGTAAAATGGTTTAATTGAAATTCTTTTAGAAATAGAAAAGCAGCTGTTGAAGGAAAAACAAAACTCTTCCAATAATTGCTCAATGAATCATTAGCCTGAGCTCATTTGGAAAGCAGTGCCTCTTTTGTGCAGATTTCTTACAAAATTTGTCTCCTTTTGTGTTTCTTGCCTGGAGATTTATGGGCCATTAAGGTCAGTTTGCTGCCTTTGAATATGCAGGGAAACATTTACGATTTCAAGAACGTTATAAAGATTTTCTCTGATCACAGGTAACTTTTACTCAGTGTAATTAGATATTACATATCATCTCAAAGTAAACAATAAGCAAATAATGCTATTTAGGAAATAAGTACACAAAAATATGTCATATTTCTGCAGTATTTTATTTTTACAACTTACTAGATAGGAGGATAAGGAAAATAGTCAATATATTCAGCTGTATACTGTTTTCTCTGAAGGAAAAAGATATAATAATGAAAAATATAAACTGGTTGGTAAGGTAGGTCATTTTCTGCTTTTTCTTTAAAAATTGATATACAATAGATGTATACATTTTTGGAGTACATGTGATACTTTGATATTCAATGAATATACAACATGTAATTATCAAATAAAGGTAATTGGGATATCCATCACCTGAAACGTTTATCTTTTTTTGGTATAGAGAACATTACATATCTTTTGGTTTTGAAATACACAATGCATTTGTGAACGCATTCTAACACAAACAGTCACTGCCTTTGTTACCTAGTTCTTGAGCATTTATTGGGTTGACCTAGCTGGTGTTTTCTTCCATTTCATTTTCCTCCGTTGAATAGACTTATTTCAGAGTAGCGTTCTTCAAAGTGAATTATGTTCCTAATGCTTTTGTTATAAAGCTAGAGCTGGATTCCAATCAAATGAAACATTTCTTCCATAATCTTTTAGTCAAGGTTCCATTGCAGACAACAGAATCTATTGCAGTGATTTAAAAAAGAGAATTATTGCAGGGATTTAAAGACATTTCAGAATAATGGAAAGGCCTGTAGGAGCAGGCACTAAGTGAGCTACCAGGAACAGTTCTGAGAGCCCCTGTACGAAACATCTGCTGTTGCCTAGCTCCTGGCTTGAGAACCTAGGGTTCTGGTGACAGCTTCAACATCTCTGAACTGACTGGACCGTAGAAATTCCACCATGGCTGCTGCAGAACACCTAAAGGGCCTCTGCCACGGTTTTCTTCAGAAGTCTCACAGCCCATTGTTCCTTTACTCTCAGAGTCATAGTGTTT